CCTCTTTCCTCAGCAGAGGGTGTCCGAGGGGAGAAGAGGAAACGAGAGCCTGAGGACGARGGCGAGGAAGAGGAGGATTAATTTGCAGGACCAGACTCTCCAGTTATGGAAGACGCAATAGTGATTATGCAGCTCTGTATGTCTATGTACCATAGATGTCCCGACAGAAATCCTATGTTAACTTTTTATAGCAGAAGTGTGGTTTTACTATTCCTGCCCCTTTTATCATTCCAGATAAGCTCTGATAGTCCATAGGGATCCTTCTGTAGAGAACAATTTTCAACCCTATAATCACTGAAGCCATTGGCAAATTCCCCCCACCAGACTTTTCTTTGGAGCTCTTTAATTTCGTACAATCTTGCTGTGCTGGTCRTTGTTAGCCCTGAGTCCAACCCCCTGTCCCATGGGTTTAATATTGGGAGTTTCCTTCAGAACTTGAAAGCTTTTACATTTAAATTGAAAAATGCTCTGCAGCAAATTCCACATTCTGTTAAGTCAGTTAACTCTAGGCCAAGTTTTCCAGGGATTTGACTGGAAGCCCCCAACTAGATGACACCAATAYTTCAGTTTTTTAAAAGGTGACTCCTGTGATTTTTTTTTAAGGATTTATTTTGGGTGTTATGGGGTAAAGCCTCAGCCTTCAGAAGATGTTTTTGTTTTCCTGCTTGCGCTGATGTTCAGTGTTTGGAGTATTCACTAGATTCCTTCAGGGGTGTATTTTGGCAAACTGAAAGAGTTGTGATCCTTAMAGGGTTGCAATCCTTAAATTTCCTCTCAAATCCATTGTCACTGCAGATATTAACAAAGCAATTAATATATAAACAAAGATTTTTGCYAGAAATCTTTGTTAAACCTTCACTCACTTCGCTCTTGCATTGTCATTCTGGGAATTCTGCACCAGTTGTAGCTATAAAATGTATAAAATAGATGAAATACGCATGTCTTATGCAGAACTGAACGGGTAACTCCTCCAAGGGTGTTGTTTTCCAACCCCCCAGCTTTTCTAGAACTGTTGAAGGGAAGGATGAACCCAAGKTGTCCCTTCTCCGCACGTCACCTTAAACTGTTTCAATCTGGCTGTAGGCAAAACGCTCTCTTTGTGCATAACAGTTGGGAATATTCTGGGTTTTATATTGAGTGGCTGCAGATGTGTCAGGAGCAAGTGTGGGGGACATGCAGAGAAGCTTTTTTCTACCAGCCTTTATAATTCCTAATCTGCCCCAATGTTGGAAACAAATTTTGACTTCCAGCATTCCTTCTTCAGTCGTGATCCGGGTTTCACACCGTGTAGTCATTGGTATCACACTGACTGACATTGTCTCACATAGGTCCTGAACCAAATATCACACACAGCTTTATTCCAGAGACTTATTTTTGTATCTGTCCTGGCTGTCAACAGCTGCCAGAAACTGGGGAGAGCCTGYGGGTGGAAAGAGGGAGATTCCTGGGCCTGAGCGAGTCAGTCCCTCRTCACCTGGTTCCCTGTGGATGTTCCTTAGGAGTTTCACACACTAGTTCAATGTGACCTCCAGCTCTAGAGTGGAGTTTAGATCATGCAGGGCTGAAGTTGTGCAAAGCCCCACTCCCTGTGTGTGGTTCTTTCCCCCAGCTAGAGCCTTAACTCTGGGTTTCTCCTGTAGCTGTGTAGCGGGGCCTGCCCTTCCTGGCCTCGGAGCRGAGTCAGCTGGGCAGTGGCAAATTGGGAACAACTGACTCCTTGGGCTTTGTGCTTTTTAAGGAATATCTCTAAAGACACTAGAAAAGTCGTGGTGAAACTTCCTTTGCAGCCACAAGCAAGTCSTTTGTTTGTGATGAGTCCTGGGTGGGTCAGTGCATGTCTGTCATGTCCTGGAGGTTCTGGGCGGGGCACTCACTCAGCTCAGCTTTGAGAGAAAGTGTTTTCCCATCCTTTTGCTTATTGTTTTTAGATTGAAACCTGTTATTTATAAGTGTGTATGTTAGAGCACCTTCATGTCAGGGTTTTACTTAAGTGTCTGTTATTGATGCAGATAAAATTAGTTTTAAATGGAAAAAGAGAGTCTATTTTGATGGATTAARATGATGTGGGTAGTGGGCTTGTTTGGATGAGTCCAGTGCCTGAGAGCAGAGCGAGTGAGCTCCGAGGGTGACAGTCCTTCCCTAGGCCAGACTTGTGGAACCGGAGTCCCTCACAACCCAACTCCCCGAGAATCTGTTTGTGTCACCATAGCTGCTCCTGTGTCCTCCGCTCGGCATGCAGCAACAGCGTTTTTTAATGAGGAATTCAGAGCCTCCAGATAACTTTTGAAACTTTTTTGCTTGGTGGGTGGTCTTTTCATGCAAATACGTCAGGGTGGGTTTTATATTTTGTAGAGGTTTTGTCCTATTTTAATGCTCTTTGTATGGCAGTCTGTATATAGTGTGGTTCGGTTCCTTCTCCGACTCTTTCCTGAAACTTTGGAGTAACTGATTTTGTGCAACTGTGTTTTGAATAAAGCCATGACAGTGTTAAATTAAAGACAACAGCCCTGCAGCACTCTTCTGATAACTTTTAGTTGTAACAAAACATGTTTCCTCCCCACGTGTGCTGTAAATTTTAAATTAAAAAGTTTTCAAACCGAATTATTTCAAATACATTTAGAGTATTGTATTGGATTACTTCTTGGGTTATGTCCACGTGTGGAGAATGGGATGTTTCTCAAGGAATGGAGTAAGAAGAAATTTTCTTTCCTGTCACATTTCAATGGAGTGGAAACTGCAGAATGGTGGATCTTTCTGGGGATGGAACTTGGGCTTGTGGTRCTTAAGTTGTTGGTAATGTTCTAACAGCCAAGGAAGGATATTCTGGAAAACGTGGATGGTTTCCCTGCGTGTTTCCAGGTGAGTTTAATACAGATGTCAGAGTCTGGATGAGTCTTGAGATTTGCTTTGCACAGATCCTGGCTTGTGCCTGGCAGCCTGAGTGCAAGTTTGGTGAATTATTCCTCCCACAAGAACAATGTTTAAAAAAACCCTGCTGCTCCTCCCAAGCCAGACAGAGCATTGTTTTATCTTGGGATTAGTCCAGCATTCCTGGCAAAAATCCCTTGGATGCACTTGAGAAAGCCCTTGGCCAACAAGCTTTTCTGCTGCTGGATGAGCAGTTAGGCAAGAGATGGGTGGTGACTTTCTGGGATACTGTATTTAGTTTTAAAGGGCGGGGAACAATTGCCCTTCCAGCTTGCTCCTCTACCCCTTGCACCCATTTCCCACTGGATTTGGGGCCAAACAGGGAATGTGAATTTCAGGATGATGTTGAAMAGGTTAAACCCATCTTTTGGGGGTACAGGTGGGTGAGGTAAAACCAGGCTACGGTGTGGTACTTGGATGGTGAAGGAGAAGGAAGCTCAGGTGCTGTGTGAGCACATCTTCAAAGCCAGGAAAAACCTGCAATGTGGCTATGGGCTCCTCGGCTTGTCATACGTGTGTGGAACCGGCTCTCCTTTGCCCCAGGCTCTGGTTTACAGGGCTCAGCGGCTGCCACAGCGCCTGTCACTCCTGAGGACTCGGGATGGGATCGGGCAGGGACCAAAGGACGCGGCCGCTGTCGGGCTACACCGCTCCCCATGGTCCAGCAGCGCACAGCCCGCGCTCTGTCCCCCTGAACTGCCCCCCTCCGCCGTCCTCCATTTTGCTGCAGTGAGGGGAAGCTGCGCTGGCGAGCGGCTGGGCGACTTCCTCCGTCCTGCTCCTTCCTCCTCCTCTTCCTCTTCCTYCTCCCGGGGCTTTTGTCTTGCGCTGCCCCATCTCGGTCCTTCCCCGGCCCTTATCTCCCCCTCCCAGCAGCGCCGCTTCCCCGCCTCTTCCTTCCTCAGGGCTTGGGGCGTCCTCCCCCCTCAGATCCCAGACCCGCCTCAGGGAGAGCGCGGGAAACCGCGACCCACGGGGCTCCCCAGCGCGGGCAGCAGGGGCCGATCCGCGCCCCCGCCGCTGATTGGCTGAGATTTGCCGCAGTTCCGCCTTCCCGCCACCCGCGCGCCCCGCCCCTCTCAGAGCCCTCAGGGCGGCCGTGAGGGAAGGACTGCCCCCCGTGTGCTGTTTGTACTGCAAAGGAGCCTCCTC